TGTCTACACTTGTGCCGGCGACGATACAGCATGCTCGTGAATGCAGTGGGTCTTTCAGCCCGAAGATCCTTGGCTGTAACATGGCGCTCGCAATGTGTTGCGTCTGTGGCGGCCAAGTCCCTTGCAACTCTGCCTGTCTTAACAGGCATCCAAGAATCCAACACAAGTCTTGAATGATCCAGGCGTCCAGCCCAGCTTTGTCTAGAACTAATCATGAGCAGCTGCTGGGCTTGCTGCCCGATGTTTAAGCTCCAACCGTGCAGCACTCACTTCGGCATGTGGTTCATTCAATTTCTCCCCAAATCGAAGCCCAATACTCTCTACGTTCCTTGGGCCTCGACTGAACTGTGACTGCGGAAAAGGATCTGTCCAAAGCAGCCTCTCCAGCTTTGAGCTTCTGATGTGCTAGTCTGCCTCCAGTCTTCAGGATCGCTCCATCCACTGGTTGGCGAGCTCTTCTTGGTGCCTTTTGATCCTCAAGCCCAGTATAACTGCAGTGGGCCTCCCATCCAAGCCCTCAATGACCGCCTTCCGAACTGAAGCGGATGCATGGCCGAAGGAGCCAAGTGCAAATCTCAAACCCATGAGGCGAAAGTGGTGCACACTGCTGCAGGAAGCAACAGCGGTTCAGAAACCGCGATCGGAAATGTACGTCTCACCTAGAGCAGGCTCGACTTCATCGGGTGACCTAGTCCTGACAACACCTGGGGCTTGAAACTTTCCCACGAAAGGCATGGGCCTTCACAAACCTTCCACGGCTGGATTCTTTTCGGTCAGTTGGGGCAATGGGGCAATGACTGCAAAGCTCCTCCAATGGCAAGATTCACACGCAAGCAGTAGTGCAGTTTCCACGGACACTGCAAATCTAGGCTGATCTTTGTGACAGCTTGCAAATCAGCATGCACAAGACAGAGATCAAGTTCTCCGCCGCTGCTGATGGTAGCCGTACCTGAGCGAATGACATGTCCCTTAACAAGCTGACAATAAGAAGACGTCGCCAGCTCTTGTGGGCTGCAACTCCTGTCCCCCAGCAATCAGCCCAAGCCTTCAAGAAGGCTGCGAGGTCCTCCAGCAATTTGGCGTTGGTGTCACCATACAAAGCTTCACCGACCTTCAAGTACAGTGAGACAACAGCTAGGTTCGTTCCAGCCAATCTGATCCAGCACGCCGTCCAACTAGGGCTTCCACTCTGGGGCCCCTGCTGCACCGGCAGGGAATGATGAGCACCTATCAAGACGCCACTGAAAAGCCGCCACCATCCGTCCTACAATACGGTGTCCTTTGGCTCTCAGAGCCTGCTACATGTTCCGGAATCCGGGATCGGGAAGCCTGTGCTCCTGAGCAAGAAAACACCTGACATCATCTTCAAGGAAAAACTGCTGGACGGACTGATTCCAAGAAGTGACGTTGGCGAAGCAAAGCTCAAATTAGAAGCGTTCTGTGCATCATCACTGTGCGAGGCGGGGTTAGGAAGACAAGGGGGCCGTTCGTGGATGACATCATAATAGCTAGAGTCCTAGAGCTCGTACTACATTCTCGGTCTGGAGATATCCACCTCATCGGTGTGTACGCCCCTCATGACAAATCTGACGAAGAGGTTCGTAAAGGCCCATTCTGGAACAAGCTGGAAGACGAAATAGCGAAAACTCCACAGCCAGAGCTCTATAATGTTATCGGAGATTTCATTCAATGCTGGGCTGCAGGGAAGATACAAATCTGCGCACAATATCCTAGGACAGCATGTCTAGGGTCGGGGGCGCCCACCATATTAACAACCAATCGGGCTCTAACAGGCACCTTTACACCCAACTTCCCCACGGCAACGCAACAGTCGACATCCTTACCTTCAATCACTCAAGCATGGTCAAGCAGGTCACGTACAGGGACAAGCACCCACCACCAGACTCGTGGAACCAGTTCGTTTTGTATCCCCTAGGATGGTTACACCTATGGGCCCTATAAGGATAAGTCCCAGGCGACACCACTGCAGGAAACAGATCTACTGCAGGTCGTTGCCGATATCCGTTAATATCTGGGTGCCGACACCCTTCCTCCCACAGCATTGGCTAAGCCGCAGACAGAGATAGACCCGTACAGATTCCAAAGTGTAGAATGTCTACATCGCTGCCTCACAGCCCGCAAGTGGCTGCAGTGCAAGTGCTGTTTACAACACTACATACGGTTTCCCAGCGACCACTAGCTGTTGTCACTGCACGTACTGATTAAGCTCACAAGTCGGATGCCCAGACATGCCGCCCCCTAGGCCGGATTACACCGCCATGACCTCAGATGCAAAACATCAGTTCAATACGATCGTCAAACAGCAATTGGTTACATACACTGCAAACGCCCGCGAATCACTAAAATGGGGATGTGTATACAGACGGGTCCGGGTCTAGGGGCAGGTGCACCAGCACCACACTAGCGGGATGGTTTTGAGGACGAGGAGGACTGGACCACAGAATTCTCAGGTCCGGTTATAACGGACGAGTACTCCGCCTATTATGTCCGCTATATACCAAGCCCCTTGACTGCTCCCCGGGCTTAATCACATTCCACTACGGCAGCCAGTGGGCAGCGCACATGGTCACGGGCAAATTCAATGCGAAACGCTACAATGCCGTAGTCCACACCGCCAAGAAAATACACCACGCACTGTTGCAGCGAGTTAAAATTCAGTGGAAAGGGGTTAAGGGACACAGCGGGAACCTCTGCAACGAAAAGGCTGACAAGCTCGCGGAGCCAGGTAAAATGCAGGCTACACTTCAAGGAGAACGCTATGGCATAGCTCCTCTCCTCACACCTGATCGCATACCTATCGAAACACCGCATGTCGATCATGACAGCCTAGAGGAAGCGTGCACACGACTGGCAGCTGCGCTCCAGGAAGCTGAGAAGCAGACCATTCCCGTGATGGCCCGCCCCAAAAAGCCTGGATCACGCCAGCACTGGCGCAAGAGCTCGAAGAAGCCAAAAAGCTTCGCGCATCACACTCCACCGAAGCAGCGGAAACCTACAAATGCCTCAAAACCAAAGCACCCAAGTACAAGAGGCAATGGCTTCGGGATAATGTCACGGAGGCCAACCTGGAATCCCCCAACGCGCTATGGAAAGCAGTAAAACTTTTTCAGAGAGGCTTTTTGTAAGTAGCGCAAATCCAGGCTAAAATGCATCCCCGAGTTCCTCAGTCAACAACAGTGGGGGCCAACCACAGTCACGGAAGAGGAACGACAACTCTTGAAGGAGTCGCCCCCTTGGCGACACCGCCCGCAGAACCTCCCTCTCCTGTCACAACACAAGAACTTACAAATGTCATCAAAGACTTAAAGCATAATAAAGCCCCCGGACCAGACCGCCTCACAGGTGAGTCGCTAAAGATGCTAGATATTGCTAGATTACGTAGTCGAAGCAGAATTGCTTAAAGTACTGAGCGCTTGTTTTACTTCGAAAACTGTGCCCTCAGCATAGAAAGGGGCTAACATAGTCAACATTTTCAATTGCAAGGGTAGTGACTCAGACCCCGCATCGTGCTGCCGTATATCCTTACTCAACGTAATGTGCAAAGTATACGTTGCGCTGTTAAAACGCAGACTGGCCGCAGCCAACGACGCAGATCTTAGAAACACACAGTACAGCTTCCGAGCCAACCACAGCACTATCCAACCACTGTTCATACTTAGGAAGTTACAGGATTATTCGTTGAAAACGGGTCAACTCACGCACGTTTTTATGCTAGACTGGAAAATGGCATTCGACAAAGTAGATCACGAATGGATGTGCATAGCCATAGAGCGTCTCGGAGCACACCGCCACTACGTTGATTTTGTTCGAGATCTGTACAAGGATCAAACCTTCAATGCCCTTGGCATGCAGGGCACCACCACACAGAAAACCAGCACACAGGAATTAGACAAGGATGCCCATTGAGTCGATGCCTCTTCATTTGGTTATGACGGTTTTGATGTTTGATGTAGATCGTAGACACGTAACACCTGGTCCGTGGGTAAACGATGTGGAATACGCAGATGACACTTTACGACTGGCCGTGACTAAACCGCAGGCAGAAAAAATTCTACGAGCCTTACAAGTAGAATTCTCGCTATATGGCTTAGCCTTCAACCTTACCAAAAACAGAACTTCTCGCCCACCCGCCCACAACCTCCTCCGGAGGACGTGCGCTACGTAAACGGGGACGCGGTAGTAAACAGTGAAGAAGCCCAATATATCCAAATATCTTGGATCCCAAATCTCTTGGACACACCCCAGCAAAAGTGGCTATAGACGCTAGGAAAGCCAAAGAGCTTGTTTGAAGCTTCAGAACAGCAGAGCAGGCTTAATATCAAGACCACAGTGTGACGTTGTTTATGGCCAGCATATGCCAACACAATCCCCGTACATCGATACAGATTAGAAGTACTCACGCTAGAAAACAAATACCTACAACGCATAGATGCCTGGTTCCATCGCTACTTTCGAAGATGTATAGGTATTAAGGCATCATACTGCTCGCATGTCACCAACGAAAGAGCCTGGAAAGTAGCGGGCGCAAGCACTCACTCCTCGCTCGACAGCTACAGCAGCTTACGGATACGTAGACTGCCCATGCACCATGTCGTATTTTCCCAGGATACAAGGATAGGGTCAAATTCACGACATCTAAACATAGAGGATGTCTGTACCGCTATTGAATTGGTTCGAACTTACAGTCGAACGAGCGCTACCAATATACTACTATTACCTTGACCACACCGCCCCTCAACTGTTCATGGACTTCAGACGGGATCTTTTTGGGAATAACAGAGACAGCGAGCAGCGAGCGAGAGAGAGATACACGAGGACGGGCAGGCTGGAAGAATGATCTAAGTGAGATATGTCAGCTGTGAGATTGCAGGCTGCTATGTCGGCGAAACCTTGTGCTTGCCACACGACGCTTAGGCCGGAGTTATTGCACAGAATCAGGCTGTCTCTCTCTCCATCCACCCGAGCTTGAAACAAGCAACGGAAGCGCGCCGCCATCTTGACTGCTTCTCTGTCGAAGATCACTGCCTCCTTTCGCATTGACCGGAGCGGGTACTTAAAGTGCCGAAGTGCGGTGTGTCCTCCTTCTCTAACCCTGCCCGAGCAAGTGAAGTTGATGGCAAGGACTTAGTAACGTAGCTTCCCGCAGCCATCCAGGGACCTTGTTCAGCAAGCATACTTTGCTCTCATGACATGGATCGGTGCAATGTTGCCATACTTCTGAAACCCAAATCTCTTGCTGATGGCCATTATGTACACTGACAGCATACTGCAAGGACAACAACTTCCCATGCTACGTCCACCTCCCACGGAGCTGACCACGCATGCAGGGAGCGAAGACGCCCATCGGAAAAACCCCTTTGTCTCCTTCAAGAGAGCTACAATCAGCTACAATGCGACTCAAGTCTAGGGTGACTCGTCCGTGATACTCCGATACTGACGATTCCCAACCCCAACAAACAGCCATCAAGACTAGCCCAACAACGCAGTCTGCACGATTCAGCATTTTGATTTGTTGCAGAGTCTTGTTGCAAAGCTGCTCCGCATCCAGGGTTGTGTGCTCTTGTCCTGGCAGTCGGCAGGCGACACCCACGGGGCGACGCCGAGCATACGTCCTGTACACAGCTCGGGATACCTCAGGAAAGTCAAGACTAGCATGCAGCATGAAACATGCATTCGCCCGATGCTTCTTGCAGCCAGAAGGCTTTGAGGCAAACCGTAGAGCGAACGGCGTACCGGCACAGAAGAACAGGATGGACACTTTCGCAATCTGAAGCCTTAGCTGCGTGCGGTGGCACAGAAATGCGCAAAACGAGTTCATGGTTTCAGAGATCTAACAGAGCAAGCAAGTTTCTTCAGAACTAAGGGATCCACAGGTTCTGCAGCAATGTAGCTAGAAGATGCTAGAAGATCTTCGTCCAGACAGCTCTCGAACCGACGCAACGGAGTACGGAAACTATTGCCGAAGGGGCCCAAACAAATACCAACACTCCCAAACTGAAGGCCACAGCACTTTGCGAGAAGTGCCCTGGCATCGTCAACAGCAGTCTCGAGATGCCAGGCAATCGCCGAAACACCTCAAAGCTCGCCGGCTTTGGCACCGTGAGACTCCAGCGGACAAGGATTTGAGGTCGGGGATTCACTGCAAGGCTCCTCACGGCTTCGCAAGCGCATGATCTGATCTCAGAAGCCTTCCGGTGGATCCAGCGGTGGGCTGGTGCTCCCATTGCCAGGCCGATTTGTGCAAAGGAGCCGCAATTTCCTGTGGCACTCACATGATTTCACACGAGCTGTGTCTCAGCTGACGCTGCAACGAGAAGACCCGACATCAAGAGGCAACAAGTTCCGATGCTTCCGGGATTCGCCTTGTTGGCGGCCTCCTGCCACATAAACCAACCGATTCTCAGCTACATGAACTTTGATAAAACGCCGACCAAGAATTGCTGCTCACATCGAGCCACATGCAATGTGTCGCACGTGTGTGACGTGTTTAGCTGCTGGTTAGCTAGTTAGCCAGCAACTAGCGCTGTCTTTGCCCCTTGGTCCTCCACGAGCACCAAGGCCTGGCGAGAGCTGCCCAGCGGGTAGAATGTCAGTGCAGCATGCCCATCCTCCTGAGAGCGTGCAAATGCGTGCAACTCTGACTCTGCATGATCTGCAAGTGCGCCTTGCATGCCCGAGTTGTCAGCCAGGCAACAGCAAACTGGTTGGGAAAGCTCACGTCTCGATTGAGTGAACTTTCTGGGTACGGTCTAGCATTGCAAGGAAGGCAACTTGCACGCGTGTTCGTGCTGCGGAGACAGTGCTGAGTTCCACTGATTGTTCAGTTTCAGCTGTCCGAGTTGTGCATTCAAGTACAGGACGTTTCAGTTTTCCAATCTCTCTGATGTTGCCTTTCGCCTGTTCGAATCTTTACGCACTCACTCTCAGTAAGATTCCATATCCGATCTGCGAGATCGGAAAGATTAATGTACGACTGTTCGACTTTTAGCAACAGATCTTTGACGTTGTTTGTGTCGGCTGGTCACCTGTAACAGGGACGACTGCTCAAACAAAATGTTTCGCAAACACGTACGTCCGGATGGCTGCATGTCGACAAGTTTCTACGAGGTGCACATCCAACTCCTTAAGAGAAAAGGTTCGGGGCGGCAGGCTGCCTGCGATAGTTGTGCCAGCTGCAAAGTGAAGATGAGGGTTCAACGTGGTACCCGCCCCCTCTTTCCACCTGCAAGGCCTATCAAGCAAGTCTGGGTGCGATTTTGACGGATTGCCCAGGATGGGCCATGCCATGACTCCTGGCTCCAACCTGAAGCTTGAAACTTCAATTTTCTCTGGCTTAGTCAAAACGAGCGAAAAGTTTGGAAGTGCAAGCCGTTGCAAGCAGCACCAGCAGCACTTCATTGGTTGCCACGGGATTGTCGAAAAACGTTGCATCACGACGCATCACAGAAGGGTCCAGTGTCACGCGTCTGCACTTCACTGGCCAAGCACAATTTGGGCTGTCGCATCGCTCCTCCCCAAGGGTGCCGAAAACCACGTCGCGGCCACCTTCACGGCGGAAGTGCCCTTCATTAACGGCCACAGCAGCCATGGCGATGGATTTGCCAATTGCTTCAGATTGTTGTGCGTGTCTGTGTGTCAGTGCTGCTGCAGACATCTTCAGACTTGCATCATGTCAAACTCAAGATGACAGATGATTCCTGGTTAGACGTGGAGTCGGGCTGCTCACGTGCCCACGTGAAGAAGAACCATTGTCGCCTGGTTTAAGGAACTTTCCGGCGATGGCCTGAGTTGACTGACTTCAGGAAAGAATCAAAGTGGTGTCAGTAAGATGCTCAACAAGCCGGATGGACATTGGAAGCACTCACAAAGAGATGGCCCATGGGATGCCTAGGTAGCTCTAGTGAGTCTTCGGTATGGTATGAGCCGCGAACTCATTCGAGCCCCCTGCCACGCCAAGGACCACACCGGACCTGCAGGCTGGGGTTCACTAAAATGACACGATTGCGTGCCAGCGCCGGGCCCCGGAATGTTCTGGAGCTGTCGGTGCACCTTCGTGAGCCAGAGGCAAGCTTTCCACTGGCGACGAGGAGCCATGGATGCCCCAGAAATGGATGGCACCATCATAGCCTCCGGACCTTGAGAGGCACTTCTGCTTTGGGGCAGAACATTTAACTCGGCTGGGCGAAACTTGATGGGTTGGACCGTGATCTTGGCCGCAACAGCACCCGAAGAATCACAACCGCGGTGGTTTTGCCCGCAAGCCCAAACCAGGTGACATATATGAAAAAAAGTATATATATATATATATATACATACATATATGTATATGCATATGCATATGCATATGCATATGAATATGTATATGTATATGTACATGTATATGTATATGTATATGTATATATATATGTAGAGAGATAGGGTTTCGGATCGAAGCTCCTTCGAAGAGAGGAGCGAAAGCCGGCAACCCCAGTGCCTGGAGAAGGTAGGCACGCGATTCGCGCCATTGCGAAGTCGCCGACTTGGCACAGGCACCAAAGGCTGAGGAGATCACAGGCCAGAGCGAGAATCTGGGCAGCACGCCGTGCTGGCACACAACCTCGCGAGGCTGATCTATCGCTCCTCGAGCAGCACCACAGTCGACCACGATTCCGAGAATCCATGGGAAGGCGCAGTGGACAGACATGCAAGGACGACGACTACCACGACGGATGGCGCTCTTCTTCTTCGGCCTGACCACCGCATGGGTGCTACAAGGGAGGCGGCAAGGGCAATCCCTACCAGCAGCCACGCAAAAACAAGGACCAACAGGGAGAAGATCGGAAGCCCAAATTTCCCTCCTTCGACATGATGGAGACCACGGGCAAGGAAGGGGGACACCCCGCCAAGACTGATGCCGAAAAGCACGATGCACAGCCAACGGCTGGAAGTTGCTCATCACCAGAAGGAAGACGGAGGGCAAAGCGAGACGCCTGGCGGAGGAGAAAGAGGACCTCGACTTGAAGTGGCAGAAGTTTCAGCAGGAGCTGAAACAAGAAAGCAGCAAAATACAACGAGAAGATCGACAAGGTCAAAGGGGAGCTACAAGATGTCCACGCGTTACAAGAGGAAGAACTTGCGGACATGAAGGACTAAATCGCAGAGCCGAGGCGCAGCAAGGCCATCAGGCAGGACATGGATGTGTACGAGGAAGCCATCGCGGAGCTGAATCAGCTGCTACAAAGCCCGGACAAGGACAAAGATGCGGGACTAGCAGACTTGTTGGCGGGGGCGCCAGCGCTTCCTGCGAGCAATCGAGGAACACAAGGCACGCAAGGCGGGCCTGAGAACGCCGAGCAGACGCCGCACCTCCTACACGCCAAGGACACCGCCGATGGAGAAGACGTCGCCCCCACCTACTGGAAGGAGATCAGAGGTAAGCTATGCTGGCGATGGCTTGGAGGAAGTGGCTCGAGGAGATCCCTATCTGACCTTCCCCTCTTTGGACGGGACCTTGCCAACAAGAGGAGGCAACATCCGATCGAGGTCAAGGACATCGAACCGAATGCCAATCAAATGCAAAGCCAGGAAGGGCAAGTACACTCATCGACAGATTGGATGCCAAGAGAGCCAAGGCCACTGCGCAGACAGTGGAGGAAACCACGGAGGAGTCGGAAGGGGACGAGTGCATCGCAGAGCTCGAGAAGGTCAGCCACGAGGCGGTGGAGGCCAATGTGCAGTAGCTCGTGGTGCCACTATGACCGAGGAGCAAGCACCACCGTGGGCTTTTTCGGTCAGTCCCTATAAGGTGCATTTATACAAGACACACAAGTGACCACAACAACAGTTGGTGGTGTCAGTGGGTTGAGCATGGCTTTTTCGGTTCGTCCATGCTGACCCAGCATCCCAGCAATTCTGACAGTTTGGAGGTGAGATGCTATCTACCCACCTCCAACTGTAGTCAACGGCGGCATGGCCCCACGGGAGTCCACGACCGGCCAACAGGAAAGGAATTCCAGATCTTTGGCATCATGGACGTCCTGGAGAAGGGATGGACTCGGTTCGAAAACCATTTCTATCACCGCAGTGCAGAGGTACAACAAGCATGTGCTGCCTGGTTCTGCACCTTGGGAGCTATTCAAATCGCTGCCCTGTGGACAATGCTCTTGACAGCGACTGGCACGCCAAGGGAGGGCAAGCAGAAGACCCGGCCTAAGCACAGCATGAACGGGTGATGACAAAGGCCGAAGCGATGCCCCGGCAACCACGAACAAGAGTGGGGATACAGCAGCCCACTGACTTGGAAATTTGGACAGTTGGACAATTCACACTGCAGGAGCAATTTGCTGAAGCAGGCTGCTGAGCAGCCAAGCGAGCCTAGCTCGGGTGAGGCGGCTGCATGGAAGAGCTGGGCATGTGGGTGGCAACCCCCTTCTACGAGGTGGACGTGATTGATGTGGAGCTGTTATACCTGAATATATGGATGAGCATATTCTTTCGGTACCACAACTGCCTGACTTCTACGCCAGCTTCACATTGCCCAACCCTCATGGCTGAGCAGGACAAACACAAAGGTCCTCGTCCTGGACTGCAGACCTATTGGAGGAACGGCCTTTGCAGCTTACTTCGAGAGTCCCATCAACAGAGACACGGTGATGAAACCGGTCGACAACTACCACCCCTACGATATCGAGCTGTACATTTATGGGAGCCAAGACGCAGCTGCCGAAGGACAGACCTTTGAGGCTGTGACAGGTAGAGTCATTAAGGCGGTCAGACGTTGCGACATATGTGAATGGTCTGATGAGATATTGTCTCGCCTACAGCAACCAACCAAGTGGAATCCTCACTTTGAGAAACCTGGGGCCAGAGAAGGACTGCACACAGTCTGTCAAGCAGTGAAACGCCGCTTGGGATGGCGGCCGCGGAGGCCGTAGGATGGGAACATGGAGAGTGTGTAGTTTGGATGCCGCTGGACCTGATAGCGAGGCTCTCACATGCAGGACGACGAACCTGGGAGCAGGTCGCGGTCCTGGATAGCAGAGCTCAGCCAATGGAAAGAACAATCATAATGTTTTTGGATCTGAGGGGCTTGACCCACTTCCCGCAGTGGGTCCAACTTGACGGCGAACGCTCGACGCCAGAGCCTATACAAACTTAAGGACTCTGTTCGTTGTTGGAGGCGACCCAGCTGATGACGATTGCGGTGTACGTGTTCAACACAGAAGTTCTAACACTGTATCTGGCGCCGAGCGATGAGGAGTCAAGCTCCGGAGACAGCATGTCGCTGGATGACATTGGGATGATACGAGCTCTGAGGGAACAGGTGACACGAGAAGCTCGCTTCGGTCCAGTGGATCCTCAGCATCCAGGGGAACCAGAAATGGCCCCCCGAGAGGACCACCACCGCCGGAGCCGGTACACAGAAGCAGGTCTCCACGCAGCAGAAGTGCGGAATCTATGAGAACACTGCTGCACTGCCCCACAATGAAGAGCAGCTCAAACAACTTTGCCGACAATGGCCCTTGGACTGGCTACAAAGGAACATTGGGAAGGGGGGCTACATCAAAGCACGAAAGATGCCATTGCAGAAACAAAGGCCTGGGAGACCTCATGCGACAGCAGCAGGCCAGCTATATAGGGATGGCTCAGCCAATGAAGTCAGCAAGACCAGCGGCTACGCGGTCGTCATCCTGATGGCGGTTTTCGGGATGCTCAGTGGTCAGATCTGGGGCAACCCCAGCACGTTATGGCCCTCGGAGCTGAGCAGGTGGCACTGGCAGCTGGTCTGCTTTGGCTTATGCAGATGCAGTCCGAACCGCCCGAGAGGGGGACAATCTGGTATGATTGCATGGCTACTGGCAAAGCCACAGATGGCCAGTGGCAAGCCCCCAGCGAACTCGGAGGCTCAGGCAGCTCGACATGGTGATCAATGAGTTCCCCAACATCCACGTGGAATACAAACATGTCAAGGGACATTCGGGTGACCCTTGGAATGAATATGCTGACAGCATAGCAAAGCAGGCAGCACATGGAGAACTGACGGAAGTCGGCACCCCAAGTGAAACTTGCAGGACTTTCCTGACGGCGAGCCTGGATGTCAACACTGTCCACCAAGGACCAAGAATGATGGCGGTGACAGCTTCGGTGGTACAGGAAAAGATTGCGCTCATATCTGCTCACTGCCCCCATGCGGCAAGAGCAAAGGAAAGGGACGAATATTTACAGGAATTGGCGGCAGTCCTCAACAGAGTCAAGAACCAGCATGGTGTTCGTGGGAACTGACCTCTATGGACGACTACCGACGAACTACCAGCCGGCCACAGAGGACTTGGAGTTCGACGAACCCGATTCGACTGGCAGGATGATAGCCAATATCACGGTGGACAATGGACTGTGGGCACCCTCTACCTTCATAAGGTGAAGCCTGCACCTATGTACATCCCAATGGTACCGAGAGCAGACTGGACTACATTCTTGTTGGTGGCACGTACGTTTCTTGCCGCCGCGGAAGGGTCTGCTATTCCACGGCGTAATTGCATGCGGAAGCGCCGAATCCTATGGTATTTACAGTGTTGTCTGCACCTGCGGACTGCTCAGGCATGTTAGCCT